GTGCGTATACTGATACGATAAACAAACACCTTTTAGTGTTACTTCCCTTCCGGACGCCGATTGAACCCTGGAGACGCACTGAACATAAACGACTGTTGACGGGGATCCAATCGATAAGAGAGGACTCCGCCCTATTACTCAGTACAATACCTACACCGCGCTGACCTACTGAACGAGCTTCATCGTCGCCTGATGTGCGAAGAACGTATCTCGTCGATAAATCTGGCGCGCTCAAGTGGTTTAGAGTAGTAGGATCCTGGATCCGAGTTTCCGACACGCAGCAAATATCGATTCCTAATTATTCCATTGTACGAGCCAGACAAGCCTATTGACCTAGCTGCATCAAAGTCCTCATGTTGAAGGCCCCCAGATTAAGTGATTGATGAGGCTTTAGATTCTGCAATCCATTCGGTGGTAAATCACTTACAGTGCTATTTGGCAATGACCTTTGGCGAGCGACATCTAATTTGCTTGAGGGACTATTACAGGTCGGTAGAAGGGGTAAAAGGAGAGGGTTGGGAACGGACGACAAAGAGTTAAACAAAGATTGGGATATCTGACCAGTAGCCCACTTATCACTACCCACCCCGCTCGATGCAATGGGCAGCGCAGTCGTGATTATCCTGCGCGATGATCGCTTTTTCATTCTCTCTTCGACTGAAATTCAGTGTGTAAACTTGCGTGTGTGTGCGTGCGTGCTTGTGCGCGCTTCGGGTATTGATTAGTCTCATAGAAGAATAGAACAGAAGAGAGCAAACCATATGGTCATGTGGAATGTCTATTCGATTATGGGATCGGTTCACCTGTATCCTAGGACTTTGAGTGGTGAACACCACTACCCCGCCCCCCACAAATAGTTTAGGCGCGATGCTGAGCAGGACGACAACCAAGCTATGTACCAGCGGGGTTGGGTGTCCGTGACAGGATTCCATCCTCGTATCTTACAGTTTATTGTAGTATCACTAAACTTGAGATTGTTGGAATTGTGAATTTTAGGAGCCTCGGTTAGATTCAAACCCATGCATGGACG